TGGAAGAATGTAATTGATGTCACTGAATTGTACATGCAGAAACTTTCAAAATGGTGTAAATTTGGCTATGTATATTTTCACCAAAAAAAAGGTCCTCAAGGTCGAGAAGGGAGAGTGTTGACATGTCGTGGGGTTATTAACCAATTTCATAAAACAGTATGTGTACTGACTGTTTCATGAGAAACTATTTGTTCTGTAAACCTTCATCTAAAGTACAATAAAAAAAAATTTTTTTAAATATATAATAGTGGTAATAACAATAATCAAGGGGATGAGGAGTTGGGGGAGGTATAGATAATTCAAGAATTACAGAATATTGTTAATTATGAAGCTGAGTAATTGGTACAAGGACGTTCATTATATTATTCTATATGCTTTGTATATGTTTACATTTTCCACAATAAAAACCCAGAAAATAAGAAGTTGAACACTACTGTTTTGAAGACTCTTGTCAAAATGATATTCATAATCCTGCCTTAGAGGTCCGTGACTTTTATCAAAGAGAATTACAGCAGACCTCCAGGGCACTTACTATGACTGGAATTAGAAGTAGGGCTTACGAAAACTGTCTTTCCAGGCTATACCAAAGAGAGAATCATACGCACAACTGCAGAACAATAATATTAATATTTAGACTCACCTGAGTCACAGGGGGAAGTTATGGTAAAAATAATAATTTTTTTTCTTTTTTTAGTGTGGGTAAAAATCGCAAACACAAGTAACACCTTCTCAAATTTAACTATTAAAAAAAAATACCTGTAGTAACAAAATACACTGAAAGTGATCAAAAATCAAATAATCTTAATGAATTTATCTTAATATAGCATCACTTGCATTGTTGCCAAAGTAGAAGCTTTCTCATGCCCCTTCATCCAAACAAAATCCCCAGTGTATAATCCTGGCGTATGAGATTTTAAAATCTTATACACCAGGGGATTTTTACCATTCTACTGAAGTATCAGAGTTGTAGGTTCTGACCCCTATATAAAAGAGAACAACTTTGCTTTTACCCATTTTATATAATCATTCTCTGCATAAGATTTCATTTGAAAAAAAGATTCTGCTGCCTAAAAAAAGGCTTGAAAAGCATTTTTCTAGCACAAAGGGAGCTTTTGTTGTTATTGAGTGCCACTGAGTCGATTTCAACTCATAGCGACCCCATGTGACACAGCAGAACTGTCCCATAGGGTTTTTTTAGCTGTAATCTCTAAGGAAGCAGATCACCAGGTCTTTCTCCCACAGAGCTGCTGGGTTTGTTAAAATAAATATTTATTTTTCAAATTGTAAATGTTATTCAATGACACTATCAAAAAAAAAATTGTTTTGTTAAATTAAAGGAACTTGGGGACCATGACATAACAAAGTTTATTAAAAAAATGTTCTACATGCTACTTTGGTGAATTGGGTCTGGTGTCTTAAAAACTTGTGAACAGCCATCTAAGATATTTGACGGGTCCCACCCTATCTGGAGCAAAGGAGAGTGAAAAAACCAAAGACACATTAGTCCAAAGGACTAATGGACCACAACTACCACAGGCCCTACCAGACTAAGTCCAGCACAACTAGATGGTGCCCAGCTACCACCACCGACTGCTCTGACAGGGATCACAAGAGAGGGTCCTGGACAGAGCTGGAGAAAAATGTAGAACAAAATTCTAACTCACAAAAAAAAAACCAGACTTACGGGTCTGACAGAGACTGGAGAAACCCCAAGAATATGTCCCTTGGACACCCATTTAACTCAGTACTGAAGTCACTCCTGAGGTTCACCCTTCAGCCAAAGATTAGACAGGCCCATAAAACAAAATGAGACTAAACAGGCACACTAGCTCAGGGGCAAGGACAAGAAGACAGGTGGGAGCAGGAAAGCTGGTAATGGGGAACCCAAGGTTGAGATGGGGTGAGTATTGACAAGTTGTGGGGTTGGAAACCAATGTAACGAAACAATATGTATATTAATTGATTCATGAGAAACTAGTTTGCTCTGTAAACCTTCATCTAAATTACATTAAAGAAAAGAAAAAATGAAATTAAAAATAATAGTAATAATAAAAATTCTGACCACCTCCCAAAAAAATTAATTAAGGATCTTACCTTTTCTCATTTGCTCCAAAAGGATTTGTCCAGTTTGGCTTAATTCATCCAGTTTGGGGCTTCTTTCTGCCTGTTCTTTTTCTAATTCCTGAAAATAAACTTTCATGATTAGGATACTGCCAACTTTCTTCTCAACATAATGTTGATGGTATTTTATCTCTCTAATGTCCCTGACACATTCTTGTTAGGTAATTCAGTCAAAGTTTACCAAAGAGAATATTAAAATACAAAACTGTACAAATCTAGTCTACTCTCCAGAAGCCCAGAGATTAATAAATCAGAAAAGGTAAATTCAATCAAACGATGATCAAAAACCCATAGCGAATATAAATCTTGGGTTTCTTTTATGAGAAAAATAATTTTACACTGTAATTATGAGGGGAAGCTATTAAAATTAGTGTTTTAGAGCCAGGATATCTGTTCACATGTATAGCTTGAATATATGCCACACCATAAAAATAACTGTGTGAACTTTTTCTAGAACTTTTCATCACCCCAAACAGAAACACTGTACCCAATAAGCAATAATTTAATGAGTTCTGGCAATAGTGATGATGGCTATACAACATTTTGAATGTACTTAATGCCACTGAAATGTATACTTAGAAATGATTAAAATGATAAATGTGGTTTATGTATATTTTACCACAATAAAATAAAAAGAAAAAAAGGCAGCCACCTGATGAGATTATACATCGTTGGAAGACTGCTCTGGTCACAGACGTCAAGGCACTGTAAGAGTTTAAGGAGGGGATGGCAAACAGTGGCAAATGCTACAGAGGGAGTAGGTCTGACGAGAACCTAAATACATCCTTTGGATTTGGAAGCCAAATGCGAGTGATGACCTCAATAGGAGCAGTTGCAATAGAACGATAAGGCAGAAATCAGTCTAAACTTCTCATCCAAACATTCAAAGTCGGCCAGGACCTGACCTCCAATCACCTTGCCAGTCTTAACTCTACTATTTTAAACATACACCAAGCACTAAATAAAATAAAATACTTGCTTCAGAGATCACACTACACTTGCATCCATGCCTGTGTTTGTGGATTTCCCCTTCCTGGTGTGCCCACCCACTCAGCTGGAAGTACCATCCTCCTTTAAGTCCCAGCTGAGCACCTCCTCACACCCTGGGCTTCATTACTATTCAGGGACAACCGCAATCCTGGTCTCTTCTCAATTTCTATGATAGCTACCACTTGCTTACTTACATCACAGGCATTCACCCACATCTTGTGTTTTTTAACTGTTCTCTAAACTCTTTGAAGACAAACTCCACTGCTGATATGTAAGCCAGCACAGATTTTCACAAAGCGTCCAAAAATTTCAAGGATGAAAAGTGACTTAATGAACCTCAACAACATAAACGTACTTGATCTCCTGTCCTAATTTTCAGTCACACACATCAGGGTACAAACTAACAGAGCTAAGATTCCCTACATTTTCTAGTACCAAAAATCAGTTGTCATGGAGTGAGCTCTCACTCACAGTGATCTCATGTTGTCAGAGTAGAACTGTGCTCCATAGGGATTCTATTTTTTAAAACTGTGTCTGTTCTCTAAAGAGAATATATTGGAATAGTCTGGAGATTTGAAATAGTTCGCTGTATTCACAAAGTAAAATATCTTTGGCATACACAAATTCATAAATTATTAGATACCAGATTGGGGAGATCTGGAGCCCTGGTGGCGCAGTGGGTAAGAGCTCCACTGCTAACCAAAAGGTTGGCAGTTCAAATCCACCAGCTGCTCCTTGGAAACCTATGGTGCAATTCTACTCTGTCCCATAGGGTCACTATGAGTTGGAATTGACTCACTGGCAACAGGTAAGGTACATCTAATCAATCTAAAACATAATAACTGGGTCGCCCTAGGAAGTGTTCCTTCCTGCACATTTCATCGGTTAAGGAGGAAAATAAAACCCTCCTCCACAAAGAATCTTATGATGGCTAGCTCAAATCAATTTGAAATTTACTACAATGCTCTAAAAGCTAGCTTATGGCCACATTTATTTTGCAGGAAGCTTTTAGATCCCATCACATCTCTAGCCAACAGCATATCTAGCCTGATGAAGTATTTTATTCACTAAGATATAATTGTTTTATGTTTTACCTTCAGCTTCTTTTTCAGTTCTGAAGTCTCCTGCATCTTCTTATACTCTTTCATCTCTGTCGTCTGAATGGCAGTCTTTGATTTCAAAATCCAGTTCAACAGTTCCGCACTTACAGCATCAAACCTGACATAAGATTCAGATGTTACCACTGTCATTAATCTCCCTCTATTGTTTCACTTGGCTCAAGGACCAAGCAAAACACTCATCAGGTATGTGTTTTTAAACATTCCCCAAAATAATAACCCAGAAATATTGAAACCACACAAAATACTATAAAATATGATCATATGATTAAAAATATGAAGAGTAATAATACTGCAATGTTAATAAATAATTAAATAAAATTTTTGTAAACTTTGTAAGAAATTACTTTCATTTTCATAAACTCGTATGGACAATGAAAACCAGGCGTGGTTAAATAATAACAGAAAAGAACAAGTACAGACATTCCTAGTCTTCCATTCAATATGTAATGACTGAGTCTACAGTATGCCAGACACTGGGCTGGGCTCATGATATGAAAATGAACTACACATAGTGACAGCCTTCAGGGAGCTTTCAGTAGAGTAAAGGCAACAGAAAATGACAGGCAGTAACCAAAGAATTTACGAGGGACTAAGTGCAGGACTTCATAGGAGGGACTCCTAATCCAGTCAGGAAGGGATGGTTTCCTAGAGGGGAAGAGCAACATTGTGCGTAGGAGTTTTCCTGGCAAAGGGAGTACAAAGGAAAGATGACCACACTTTACAAAACACAAGGAGCTGGGGTTTGCTGGAAGAGTGGGCACTAGGCAGGGAGGTGCAATTGACAGTGTGGCCAAAAATCACACAGATCAGGTTACCAGATGGCCTGCAGAATACACTGAGGAGTTTGGGCTTAACTGATGGGCAACTGAGAGCCAACGAGGGGTTTTAAACACAAGAATTAAAAAAAAAAAAAACTGTTGCCATGGAGGTGATTCCAACTCCTAACAACCCTAAAGGACAGAGTAGAATTGCCCCATAGGGTTTCCAAGGATATAAATCTTTATGGAAGCAGACTGCCACAGCTTTCTCTCAAGGAGCGGCCGGTGGGTTTGAACCACCAACCTTTTGGTTAGCAGCCGACTATTTAACAACTGTGCCACCAGTGCTCCTTATTGACTATATACCAAGTCCTTTTCTAAGTGCTTTATGTATATTATGAACTCAGGGAATTCTCACAACAACCCTATGAGTTATATGCTATCATTATTCTATTTGAAGATGAAGGAATTGAGCTCACAAAGGTTTTAAATAACTGCCCAAGGTCACAAAGACAATAAAATAAATGGTAGAGCCAGGATTCAAACCCAGGCAGTCTGTCCTCTTACCTATATCCTACCCACAAGGCTTCTCAAAATAATTTCTGAGTACTTTATGCAGCAGCATAGGTCATTGTTGTTGATTCTTTTCAGAAACTTCACTTAAAATGTTTCTAGTGAATTACGAACATCTGTCTTTTCATCAAGGTAGATTTTCCTTGTAACATGTGTGGGGCTTTGTGACACTCCAGCTAAATACCCAGGGATCAGAGTGTCACTCAAACAGTGGCACACTTCTCCAGTCATCTTAAGAGCAGATTTCTGTTTAGTCTTTCAAAAAGGCACTCCCCCCAGAGATCAAGCACTGGAAATGACCTTGGAGACTCAGTCAATTGCTGCCTTCAGTATGAGCCAAGACTAGGGAAGCAGCAACAAAGCATCAGTGATGTCTGGTTGCATTAACAATGATATCCAGGTTACAGGAAATGAGTGCCTGTCTATACCCTGAGCTGGTAAAAACCACCACCAGCAGCACCAAATAGAAGGGGAAGGGAAACAAGTCATCATTTATTAAGCATGTATTATAAATGAGGCACTATGCTAAGCAGCTATTTAAGGCTCACACCTACTGTACTCAGGAGGTCCATTTTAACACAAGCTAATAGTGACTTCTACACAGACTGAAGGTATTAAAGGGTCTGGAAACCATGTCATGTTCTTAACCATGGTTAAGGGCACTCTGGATTTTATGACAATACATAGCTATCCTCAAATATCAAAGGGGTCCCATATAAAAGAGGGGTGATGTGACTCTGTGTTGCTCCAGAAACGTAAAGGAGGCAGAGTCTGGCTATGTAAAAAAAAAGAACCTCTCTAATAATGAGATTTAACTGTTTTTACTCTAATGAAATGATGTACTCAAATCTCTATCTGTGCAGGAATTAAGTGAAGGAATCTTTGCTGCAGACTTAATGACTGTGGCACTCACAGCTGTTTGTCCACTCAACAGATACCCTCCCCCATACACTCCTCCCTTGCTGCCTGAGTCCCCCAGACCACAACTACAGAGACTCAAAAGGCCAGAGAGTTTCAATGATCTCTGCACCCAGAACGTGATCAAGTGGCTGAATCCTGGCCAGTGAGACCAGAGGGTAAGTTTGCCGAGGTCTTCTGGGAAAGGCCTTTCTCCCTGATTTAAAAAAAAAAAAGAAGAAAGACAAATGTGGGAAAACTGCCTTTCCTGCCTGCCTACAAACCAGGTTGCAAAGATGTACTGCTGAGTGCTCCAGCAGCAACTTGGGACTGTGAGAAGACAAGTCTGAAAGTGAAAGTCAGCACGCTGAGCATGGCAGAGACTAAAGATGGTGATGGTGAGATGCTGAGCCACCATCCCATTAAAACAGCCCTACCTCCAGACTTCTCAAAATATGAGATAATAAACTAATTGTTGAAGTCACTTTGGGTATGGCGTTCTGTTTCTTGCAGCAGAATTCACCCTATGCAACACGGTTGTGTTGAAATTAAGATGTAAAATTATGCATCCTAGTCTTTACAACCATCCATTCTTCCAAACGCACAAAGTCAGCACTGGAGAGATACACAGCACAGCGCCTGGCAGACAATAAGCACACAGGAGAGTAAGGTAATATGCTAATATTAACATCAGAGGCAGCTTCCTCTTGTGATGCCTTGGCTGCAAAGGCAAAGTTTGCACAGCTGCTGGCTGCAATGCTAAGGTGCGTTAGCTCTGCAAGGAGATGCTCTCGGAAGGCAGAAACACCACCTCCTTACCAACATGAAAATCATCTGGGAACACTGGAATCCTGCTTGGTCTAACAAAAGTGAACCTGGGGAAAGAATTTTATTCAGGTCCAAAATAATTGCCCATTTACCAAATAATTGGGATTCTATTATGAAACAAAAAACCCAGTGTCATTGACTCAATTCTGACTCATAGTGACCCTATAGGACAGAGTAGAACTGCCCCATAGGGTTTCCAAAGCTGTAAATCTTTACAGATGCAGACTGCCACATCTTTCTCCCGCAGAGCAGCTGGTTAGGGTTTGAACTGCTACCTTTCGTTTAGCAGCTGAGTGCTTAACCACTGCGCCACCAGGGCTCCTTCCGCTATAAAAAGAGGGAGAATAATAGTATGACTCAAGGGCCGTTTTGAGGATTAACTGCTATGGTGCATATAAAGTACAGTACTCGGCACACAGTGAGAGACTAACAGAGTACCTGACATTAGTAAAAGCTCAATATATGTTAGCTGGTATTACTCTTATTATAAAGAGTCTGGGTCTTCTTAGGTATCATTTATACAAAAAAGATATTTGATGCCAGAAATGGATCTTATAAGCCAACACTATCTGTTAAAAGAATCTGAAAGGTGAAATAATGACAGAAAGAAAGCATAAAAAAGAGTGGAGGGGGAAATGAAGTGAAAAGGAATTACATCCCTGAATTGTTTTTTTTTTAATGATAAGAAGAGGAAGGAGATTGACAAAGAATAAGGAGATTCATCTAAAGCAAAATTGTCAGAGTTGTGAATTGTGAACAAAAGAATAAGTGAGGGATCATGGCAGATTGTATACTCCCAAGGTAAATGGAAAAGGAGGATAGAAAGGTTCCATCACACAGTTCTCCAAATTGAACACAGAACAAATAAAATTATCCAAGACAATTTAGACGCTTAGCTACTGGGAAGTAGAATATTCAGAAGACTCAGGGGCAACTGAGTGGTTTAGTAGCTGGATTTCCATAACAATACCTATGTCTCAATTTGCATATGATTAGTGAGTAGTACAAAATAAGTGCCAAGTATAAAATACATTATGTACAGTATTGGACTTGGAAAAATTCTATATCCATTCTCACTTTTTCTTAGCTTCTATATCCACATGGATCTGTCTCTTCTTCGGGGGAGGAGGAGGAGGCAGCTCTTGCTTAGACTTTTTTGTAGTTACTTGTTCTCTTATGCGAACAGTCTCTAAAAGATCCTTCTGAGGAATTTGGGACATCCCCAGCTTTGCTACAACTTGAGTCACCTGAAATAAAATTCAACCAAAGCTGTCATTTTTGTTTTTGTTTTTTGTTTTTTTTAACAACCCAAAACAAAGGTTTATTTCTCAATCGTACAAAATCCAAAGCAGGCTAGGTAAATCTCCTGGGGAGCTCCCCAAGACAGCTCTCCTTAATGTGGTGACTCGGCCATTAAAGCTGCTTGCATCTTAGGGTTCTTACGGTTCCATAACATCAACACGTAGCCATGGAAGACAGAGATGAGAAGGAAGCACCCTGGTTCTTAACAAGCCTCAGACCAAAAGTGACACATCACCATCACTGACAGTCCTTGCTAGAATTCAGGCATATAGCACCAAATCAACTGCAGGGGAGGCACTCTCTCTGCCACCCTCAGGAATTAAGAGTGACAAAACAATCCAGCTTTACATGTCACCTGCCTGTACTGTTTTATTATTATTTTTTTTTAATATTTTATTGTACTTCAGGTGAAGGCTTACAGAACAGATAGTTTCTCATGTAACAGTAACATACATGCTGTTTTATGACATTGGTTAACAACCCCACAACATTTTAACCCTCTAAATACTCAACTTTTTTTTTTTTTTTTTTGGTGAAAATACACATAGCCAAAGAGACGCCATTTCAAAAATTTTTTTTACATACACATTTAAGTGACATTGACTATGCTCTTCTAATTATGCTGTTATTCTCACTTAAGATGAAGGCTTACAGGACAAAATAGTCTCCCATTCGACAGTTACTACAAATGTTGCCCTATGACAATGGTTAACAATCTCACAACACATCAACAATATCCTTACTCTATTTTATGTTCCCTATCATCAGCTTCCTACTCCCCTTCTGCCTTCTGGGCCTTGTCACTGGACTCCTGTACCTCGTTACTCTCATGGTTTTACTGGGCTGTCCACTCGCAGGCTGATCAGTGAACCTCGAAGGTAACTTTACCACTGAGCTAAAAGGGTGTCTGGGGGCCATACTCTCGGGGTTTCTCCAGTCTCCTTTAGGCCAGTAAATCTGGTCTTTTTTTTTTTTTTTTTTTTTTTTTTGTGAGTTAGAATTATGCTCTACATCCTTCTCCAGCTCTGTCCAGAACCCTCTGTTGTGATCCTGGTCAGAGCAGTCAGCGGTGGTAGCCGGGCACCATCTAGCAAAGCTGTCATTTTTTTTAATGACAGGATCACCTGTTGCTGTCAAGTCAATTCTGACTCACAGTGACTCTATAGGATAGAGTAGAACTGTCCCATAGGGTTTCCAAGGAGCAGCTGGTGGATTCGAGCTGCTGACCTTTTGGTTAGCAGCCGAACTCTTAACCACTGTGCCACCAGGGCTCCATGACAGCATTATGGAGATATAATTCACGTATCATAAAATTCTCCCTTTGGAAGTGTACAGTTCAGTGGTACATTAGCATATTCACCAGAGTTGTGTAACCATCACCACTATCTAATTCCAAATATTTCCATCACCCCAAACCCCATACCTGTTAGTAGTCCCTCTCCATTTCCGACACTCCCCCAACTTCTGGCAACCACTAACCTACTTTCTATCTTTACGGATTTGCCTATTCTGGACATTTCATATAAGTAGAATCATACAGCATGTAACCTTTTGTGACTGGCTTCTTTCACTTAGCTATATGTTTTTGCGGTTCATCTATTTGTAGCACGTATCAGTACATCTTTTTTTTTATTGCTGAATAATATTTCATTGTATAGAGACAGCATATTTTGTTTATCCATTCATCAGCTGATGGGCATTTGGACTGTTCACTATTTGGCTACTGTAAATAATGCTGCTATGAACATTCATCTACAAACCAAAGTTTTATTTTTTATAAATGGACTAAAATATTTTTAAGATTCATAAATAATAGATACATGTCTAAGTATTATCATTTACTATTATAGGTAGAATTCCGCAAAAAGATTCTTGAAGTCCTAATCCCTAGGTACCTGTGAATGTGACCCTTGGAGGCAGGGTCTCTGCAGATGTAATTAGTTAACATGAGGTCATTGGTGTAAGGTAGGCCCTAGTCCAAAATGAGCGGTGTCCTTATAAAAAGAGGAGAAAAGACAGAGACACAGAGGGAAGACAGCTATGTGAAGAACGAGGCAGCAATTATAGTTATGCTGCCACAAGCATAACTGGGCATAAGAATACCTGGGGTTACTAGAAGCTGAAAAAGGCAAGGAAGGATCTTCCACTAGAGCCTTGGTCAATATCCTGAATTCAAACTTCTGACTCCAAAATTGTGAAAGAATACATTTCTGTTTAAGCCACCAGATATGTGGTAATTTGTTATGGCAGCCTTAGAAAACTAACACAGTTACTAAGGATGAAATTCCTGGACGCTAATAAATTTTGGTTAGCAGCCAAACGCTTACCCACTGCACCGCAGGGGCTCCAATAAATTTTCATAGTTTTTTTTAGAAAGATTAATTTAAAGAGATCTATTAAAATTTATTTTAGAAAACTAAAGAAGATTTTCCTAGGTCAAGTTTTCAATTTTACAGTAAACCAGGTATAAGAACCAACTTTTTAGTTCACCCGCTACTCTTTTATTTCATAATGAGTAACACTAATCTAACACTTAACTTTAAATTTTCTATACAATGGCACAACATATTATTCAAATCGAAAGATACCTGGTTGGAGGAATCTTCTAGTCTCTGAACCAGAGAATCCCATCTCTGAGTCAGTTCCTCTGAATCACTGTTGATCTTCTTAGATGCCTTGGTATTATCAAGTAATTGACCCACATCCTGGCCAATCTCACTCAACTGATCCAGTGCTTGACGCTTCATTTCCATGTCTTCCTTCAAAATCTAATATTTCAGATATGTATTAACTAAATTGTATTAATGCCATTGAAAACACAAATAACAAGCTTACGATATGGACACTGGCAATGACATAACTTACAGCCAGTCGTCGAATACTGACACTTAGCTCCTTTTGGTCTTTGAAGTTACTTGTCTGGACTTTATTTAAAGCCTCTTCTTTTTCAGTTAGCCAAGCTTTCAACAAGCACTACAAATAAAAGAAAAATTAGAAATATATTTGGGAATCATTTGGAAATTCAGTTTAATCAAGATCATAAATCTCTTTTATTTTGTCAAAGGGATAAGGAGGACCTCAAACACCTAAGTCTGAGTTATGAATGACCCAAAAAAATAACTTCCTTTAAAATATCATGCTTCTTGGATTTGAAACAGATCAGCCTAACATTAGCCCTACACCTAGGTAACTAAGCCTAACTCCCAGACAGGAGTGTGAATTTAAAAGGCTAAAGTCAATTACTCAAGCCTTCAAAAAATCACATTATTACTCTCTTGAAGCAGAAGAGCCCTGGTGGCGCAGTGGTTAAGAGCTCGGCTGCTAACCAAAAGGTCGGCAGTTCAACCCACCAGCAGCTCCAAGGGAGAAAGATGTGGCAGTCTGCTCCCAAAAGCAAAGATTACAGCCTTAGAAACACTATGGAGTAGTTCCTACTCTCTCCTATAGGGTTGCTATGAGTTGGAATCGACTTGACAGCAACAGGTTTAGAGGCAGAAGAAAGCTAAGAGACTGCCTTGTGTCAGGCCCTCATTTTACGGAGGAGGGAGAGAGAGCTCACTTGGCTAATTAGCGGCAGAGTCAGATCAAAGATCCACATCTAAAAGCTAATGATCTTTCCACCGCATCATGCAGGAAAAACACACTGCTGTTCAAGGTTCAAGAGCAATTTCACACGTCCTATGAACACTCTTCTCTGTCCTAAAGGGTCGCTATGAGTTGGAATCAACTCAACGGCAACAAGGTATGGATGAAAACCCTGTGGAACGCAGTTCTACTCTGAAACACATGGGGTCGCCATAAGTTGGCATTGACTCAACATCAATGGGTTTGGTTTCATTTTCTTTATAATTAAAGGAGGTTTGAGGACGGTCCAAAGTCAATATAAAGATATTTAAACTTTATTAGCCAAGGATATGTGTTTTTTAAGATATTAGTAATAATAGAAAGAGAGAACCTCAAAGGAAGGGTAGAAAACAATGATGGCTGCATTGGGATAATTCATTCCAAAATGTAGTATCTACCACAGAAATTTTTTTCTGTATAGTTGGGAGAAAAATCTTCGTTCTCTGTTTGCAGTGGAATCAGTTCTTTCTCTGATTGTTTTATTTATCAATTAAAAACTATTCCTTGCCTTTATACTCCACCAAGAAAAAAATGAAGATTTAAAAAAAAAAATCAAAGATAAATATGGATCTTACCCTTAGTCTAGTAAGGTTGATAAGATATGCACATAAATAACTATGGCACAAGATAGAAAGCACAGACACTACAAAAAAAGATATTTTTAAAACGCCATGGTAATTCTAAAGAAGGAGAAATTACTTCCAGCTGTAGGATAGGGGGACGTGGGGTAGGGAGTTCACCAATGACTTCATGGTCCTTAATGGATGGGGAGGACTTAAAAGTGAAGAGATGGGTAAAAAGGCAACCCAAGGCAGAGGCAATATCTTAAACAAAATACATTCATCCTTTAAAAAACTATGAGGAATCTACAAAGCATCAGGCACTTGGAATAGAGCAGTGAAAAAGAGAGAACCAATACTATTCAAGTTGAATTGACAGTCTAGGAATGGGATACAAACAAGAACATTAGGGGTTTGAGCACTGGGTACATGGAAGGAGACAGGGAAAATTAAGACTGGAAAGGTAGGCTGGAGTCTTTTACAGAAAATCCTGAATGCCATAGAAAGTTGGCATATGCTGCAGAAGTCTGGAACTAATTCTCAGAGTCCATTTCTAACTATATTAAAACTTCTGCAACTAAAGCTTGAAAGATTTTTAAATTCAGATGCAGTTTATTTGGTCTCAATCCATGCAGCAGCAAATTATCCATACATTATGTACCAAAGTTGGCTTCAATTCTACATTGTAATAAGATTCTTCCTTCCGTATCTGCCTAAAAAGTATTGCAAAGGTCATTTTAAAGGCTTTAAAATGTTACAAGTAGCCAAAATAATAGCCACTTCCTAGTTTGTTTTAATTACCAAAGCTTAACTTTCTAAATGATGAATTATTTTACTTTGTGGAAGAGTAACCTACAGCTTTCTCTAATAATCAATGTCTACTGCTGACATTTTTAAAGTAAAATGTTAACTATCCCATGCAACTTTTTCGACTGAATACAAGATTCCAAGCAATTATAAATATTTGTAAAGTGAAATATAAATATTTCAGAAATCAAAATCAGGTCTGTTATGTGATTCTTAATAAGAAAATTCTAACCAGAGAGTAGGGTGGGAAGTGATTAACAATTTATACTTGGACAAATTTTGTGACCTACTTTTAAAGATGTACCATCTGCCACCATACTTAGTAAACCGCAAAGTATCATACACTTGTTTTTTTCTCCCCCTCTGAAAACAATATAGTAGCTTTTTGTGGATGGAATTGAAATGCATTTAGAAGAATCAAAATGGACACCGTGAGATGTGGGAATAGAGTGTCTTCTTATTTTCTAAACCACAACTACTTGGAGTTTTGAGGGACAAGTTTTGCTTATTTGTATTCTGTTTTGATGTCTGCTTTTCTGGAAGGGTAGAGGGTGGGCAAAGTACCACCACTCTAACTAGAAAATTAAGGTCGTAGTTTTTCGGCATAGGTTCATTTGCTATACTAACCTTTAGTGGAAAAAATATATTATCAACAAATTGTTAAATCAATAATTTTGCTAAAAAATATCCTTTCATTAATTTCCGTACTTATCCTGGTTAAAATCAAGAAAAATCCATGAGACTTTAAGATCACAATGTATTAAGTGGATTCATTTACTCACTATTTATTGAATACAAACCATAGGCTAGGTACTGTGTTGATACAAGTCCAAACACATTACTCAACACAAATTCAACAATTACAATGCCGAACAAATCATGAAAACAGCATATCTAAAGATTAACATTCTAAATAATTGAACCTATATCAAATTAAGTGTTATCATGATGGAGCCATGTAATATGATCTCTATGAACTAACTGCATGACCAATTATAAGATGGATAGAAATCTGATTTTTAAAATAATAAAGAATTACATGTATATTTTCCTTTCAAAGAAAAGTAACCAAAGCAACTTTATTCTAATATGCTTAATTAAAGATGGGTTGCTTTTTACCATCTGTCTTGCCCATTATGGATAATAGTTTCATACCTGTTCTTCCAATAATTCTTGCCACAATATATTGATTTCTCGTAACCTATTCCAACGTTCTTCAGTCCAACGGCATACTGCTGTCCAACGCTCACCAAGTTTCTAGGAAAGGAAGAAACTTTCCTTTGTCAATACAACCATAAAAAATAGTTATCAAGATCCTTAAAGAAATCTATGACTTACAGTGTTTTTTAATTACAGAGTAGAAATTATGATATGCATTTTTATAAAAGCTTGCTTTAAAATAATCTGGCCCAATCCTATAGCAAGGAGCCCTGGTGTCGCAGTGGTTAAGTGTTCAGCTGTTAACTGAAAGGTCAGCAGTTCCAACGCACCAGCCAATCTGAAGAAGAAAGATGTGGCAGTCTGCTTCCGTGAAGATTTACAGCCTTGGAAACGCTATAGGGTAGTTCACTCTGTTCTATAGGGTCACTATGAGTTGGAATCAACTCAACAGTAATGGGTTTGGTTTTTCGGGTTTAATCCTATAGCTTTATAGATGAGAAAAACTAATGTCCACAGAACTTAACTGGTTATTTCATATTATGTAGCGATAAAGTGGCACAACTGGAACTCTCTACTATATCTTTTGATTTTTAATTCCTGCTCTTTCCACTTCATTGTGGTTTTTAGTTAGAAATAATATGAGAATTTGACATTTTTACATATATCTTCAAAATACAGTAAATAATCTACTTTTTATGCTTCAAAATGTTCAGGCTATAGTTATTTAAAAAAATAATTTCAGGGCATCAGTTGTTTCCTAATCACCCTTTACATGCCAAGAAAATTTTCATTTATACTACCAAAACTATTAAAAAGAATTCACCTTAGGAAAACTGCATGTTAAATGAGAGAATTTTCATAAAAGGATTAATTGATTTTATTGCTTATAGTACATGATTCAAAGAAAATGCCACAAAAATTAGCAAGAGAATCTTACAGGCATTAGCAATATTAAATAAATAAATTTGATGAACTAATTTTTAAAAATCACTCTATGACAACTTTCAAAAAAATCACTTTACTCCCATTTTATCAATAATGATTAACAAAGGTTAAATTTTATTCCTATATTATTTATATGTGAACAAGTTTTATGTAATTCATATTTTAATCTTTAATACTACTATAAGCTTTTAATAGTGGACAGGGTAGAGCACTCAGAGCCAGAAGACAGGCCTCCAGTCCCAGCATGATTGGTACAAACAGTTAACTCTCTTAGCTGCTAACCAATAGGTTGGATATTCAAGTCCACCCAGAGGTGCCTTGAAAGAAAGCCCTGATGATCTACTTCCAAAGCAGCCATTGAAAACCCTATGGAGCACAGGTCTACTCTGACACACAGGAGGTCACCATGAGTTACACTTAACTCTATGGCAACTGATTGGTTTTTACTGAATCTCAGAAAGTTCACTTAAACTCTTTGGATTTTAGTTTCCACACTGTAATAGGCAAGACATGAATACCTACTTCTCAGGTTACTATAAAAAATACTACTTCACCAAAGTCACAGAACCATGGGCAGAATTTAAATGTTACAAAAGAAAAAGGATTTCATATGTTGAAACTATAATCTTTGAAAGTGACTAGCAACTGTAAATGGGCAACATCGTATCAGGCAGTCCAGCTACTGTTCAAATGATATACCAATAAATCTCCTTCTAAATACTTGTAATAGATGCATTGTAGCCTTTTTGCAAAAAGAAGCCATTTGTTGGGGTTCACACACTGATTTGTCAAAGAAACAGGAATGTTAAATCATATACAGCCACAATTCTTAAACTTGAGTATGCATATAAAATTTTTTAAGTGTATATTCATTGGGTCCCACTCCTAGGAATTCAGGTCTGGGTTGGGCCAAGCAGTCTCTACTTCAACAAATTACTCTTGCTGAGATCAATCCCAGTGCTCCCAAATCTTGTTCATATTGTTATGCATAAGGAAGCTGAGACTGCAACCAACCCCATCCATCCACCCAAGAGTTGAAGTGAATGAATCATTATCTGGGTACTCCTTCAACCCATTCACTGTAAAACTCCAATCGGGAAGTTATGATCCAAGGTAGGTTATTCCACCCTTCTAGATACACATCCTTCCACCCTTCTAGATAAACATCCTTCTAGGGCAGCGTAGTGTTTGTTCTGCTGTGCATGGGGTCGCTATGAGTCAGAACTGACTCCACTTGACGGCACCTAACAACAACAACAACAGATAAACAAAGGGACTCCTTGGGTGGCGCAAGAAGTTAACGGGTTTGAGTCCACCCAAGGGCACTTCGGAAGACAGGCCTGGCACTCTACTTCGGAAAAATCAGCCATCGAAAACCATATGACGCGTAGTTCTACTCTGAGACACACGCGGTCACCATGAGTCGGAATCGACTTCATGGCAACATGTTTTGTACTGGTTTCAATAATCAATGAGACAAGGAATAAAGAGTTGGGGCAACATGTAATCAGACCTCAGACCACAGGTCCTACAGGATTACAAAGGAATCCTAGGGGATTCTTACCTGTAACTGATCTTCTAGAATAGCTGTAGCATTCTCACCACTGTTTTCATCAACAATTACCACCATGTGAGTTAATGAATTTACTTTTACCTGTTCAGTCTCAAGATCATTTTGCAAACTCTAGAGAAAAATTAAGATAAACCATTATTTCCACTCTTCCACATTTACCTATTTAAAATCCACTCAGTTGTCAACAGTAATTAAGGATACTTAATGAGGCATTGTATTTAAATTTCCAATCATTACCTTAAATGTTCTACTAATGAAATAAGCCCTGGTATACATCTTTACATTTCATTATGAACCAAAGTACTCTGAAAATGCAATATCATAGCAGACTGCAAATGGGATGCAATCACTTATTATTCCAAATTCTAGCCAAAAAAAATGGATAAGAATGTAGAATTCGTAAGTCAAGAAAGTCCAAAGTCCAGAGCTTAGATATACAGTGTCAGAGATCATTTTTGTCTTGTGCAGAATGGTAAAAAGTGAGAGATAAGTAGTGTTATATGATAGTTAGAAGCTATATATAATATATGCCATGAGTCGGGACTAACTCGATGGCAGTGGGTTTGGTTTTTGGTTTTATATACATATATATATATTAGAAGTATATATATATATATATACACACACACATATGTAATACATACATAATATACATACATATTCATATACATGTATGTGTATATACCTATATGTACATATGTGTATATATATACACATATATACATATATATGTATATATATGTGTGTGTATATATATATATATATATATATTTATAGGAAGCCCTGGTGGTGCAGTGGTTAAAGAGATCAGTTACTAACCAAAACGTCAGCGGTTCAAATCCACCAGAAGCTCCTTGGAAACCCTAGGGGACAGTTCTACTCTGTCCTATAAGATCGCTATGAGTCGGAATCGACTCAACAGCAACAGGTTTGGTTTTTTGGTATATATATATGTGTGTAATTGATTTAAACACTACCAATAGTGCTGTTAAATACCTCTCAAGTTTTGTTTAATGTAGCCCTAAAGCTTTATTTAGGAGTCTCTGGGTGGCACAAACAGTTAAGCATTCTACTACTAGCTGAAAGGTTGAAGGTTCAAACCCACACAGAGTTGCCTTAGAAGACAGGCCTGGTGCTCTGCTTCTGAAAGGTCATAACCTTGAAAACCCTATACAGCAGTTCTACTCTGACATACATGGGGTCACCATTAGTTGGGATTAACTCAATGACAACTAACAACAACAAAGCATTATTTATTGGTTAACTAGATATTTCATTGAAACTCTTCAAACAATTTGCAAAGCAGGTATTTTATTCTCCTGTTCCTTACTTTCAATATGGAAAGCTATTTCCTAAACAAGTGACCAAATTAAATTGTCCATCAAATTTTGATTCCTCAACTAGTGCCTGAAGCTTTCCTGGATCAGAGAAGCAGCAATAGCTTTCCTGAAAGCATGAGGTGCAGATAAAACTCAGGGTTTGATTCTCAGACGCCGTGTTGATGCCAACACACTAACATTCTTAACCATTTACAGGTCCAAGAAAACCCTGGAGAATCCATGAAAGCTATGTACTTTCATAAGAAAACTGCCTATATCCATATAAAATTTTACCTGCACTCTCATCCCTGGCTCAGAAAAGTCACATTGCCATGAACTTCCCCCTAGGAGCTGCTGAGTACAAGAGGACACTGAAGAACTGTCCCACCTCTTCATTAATGATAGAAGCCATCAGCCCCTGAGAATGCTGTTTCTTTTCCATATTTGATAAGGTATAAAAGAAATATGAGACAATTTACTTTATGTTCTTCTAGCAGCTTCTGTATGGACTGTAAGTCATCATCCAGGGGGCAGGCTTCCATCTTCTGAATGCGTTCTTCTGTGAGTGTTAACCAAGCCGAGAGCTGCTGCAGCTGCCTCTTCTGCAGTTCCATCAGCACATCATGCAGCCTGTCCATAAGAGAAGACGACATTATTCCCACCAGCTTGTGTGCCTTTTCCAAGGCAAATAGATACTCCAGGCTCTAAAAAAATGGTGTAAGGGAATACACCCTTGTCTTACCACTTAAAGCTGTATTTAGTCTTTAAATACAGCAACCAGGGGGGAAAAAACTTTTATTTCTTCATAATAGAACCAGTTAAATGCAGTCAAAGAATGCAAATAAACAGTCCCCTTTATTCATATCAGAATCATTGTTTCTCCGATCAGGAATTCCTGTTATAAAATAGGTGGAAATTGCAATGGAATGCGGTTGGCTCCTTCATGCACAATACATGAAATAAAACGCTCCATGGGAAAAAAAGTGCTTCAGAAAGTGCTATCAGGCATTGTAGCTCAATACTACTACACGGTCCTGTTCTCATACTGAGTTTATGGTTAGCCAATTTTCATATGGTAAATAGATAACTGCACATATGGAATCGTCTTGTCCCTTTTTGCCAACTTCTGTGTTCCAACTTTCACCTTTCAGTTTGGTTCACATATCAAAGGGGAAATAAAGATCATACAAAATCCCAACATTACAAAAAGAAAAGCGTCAAACTTTTACAAGGTAAGTACGCTAATTATTATTTTTTCCCAGACATGCAGACTTTTACTTGATCTCCACTGTACAATGCAGTCTGTGGAATAAAGTGCTCCTTTCTTTGTTTTCCACTCACCGAGACTGTCTTTCCATACTCTCCACCCTGAGCGCCTCCCATCTCGCATTCAGCAGGGTCATTTGCTCCTGAATCTCAAACTCCTCTTCATCTGTCAGAGTTCCTTGTGTGATCAGCTGGTTTCCCGCCTGCAGGACACTCCCCACACTGCTCTGGTGTGCAGTCAGCTCCATCATAAACGCCTGGAAGGGCGGCATTATCAGGACTTGTGAGCTAGCTGCTCATTGCAAAGAAAAAAAAAACCTAAGAAATTGTTAATGCTCCAGAAAAAGGTAGCCTAGTAGAGTACAAATAACGCAGACTTAGATCCAATGTCTTCAGCTCTGAAAATAGGAAATAAGCACCTTGCATCTGTAAAAAGGGTTATAGATCAAGGAGAACAATGTTGCATCTAACAACACCAACTATTTTTAAGTAAATACTGATTATGCTTTTAACAGATCGTGAGTGTGGTATTACTGGGTAAGTATAAATAAAACGCCATGCTCACACAAGAGGAACTGTTTTAAAAATATTACCATTTACTATTATTTTTAAAACAAAGCATCAAATAAGATAAGTCAAGTAACATACCAAAGCAAAAAAAAAAAAAAACTGCCTACTCAAAATGAAATCTCCATATAGCTAAGCTCACTATCCTGCAACAAAATACATCCTCAATACAGTAAGGAATTTTCATAGATAAAATCGTACAGGAACACTGAGTATGACATTTGTTTAATGATACAGTAAATAAAACTAATTACTTCCTCATTATGACTGAAAACTTTGAGATTTGGTGTATTGATTAGTCATTTTCTTTTTTAACTATAACAATACACTTCAGAAGTGAGCTGTACCATGCACTGATTTCTGTCAGTGGCTCTATAAAATATACAAGTTATGGTAAGATTAGAATCTGAAATCTAATTCCAACACGAAGTTAATCACCCACTCCAATTTGAAAACAAAGCCCTACTTAAATATCACAAATTCTAAAATATGCCAAGACCTTTCCAGGGAGCATAATTCGGTAAACAACAAACAGCAGGGTAAATCCTCTGCATTAAGGTACAGGCACCTCTCCCGTGGAACTCTCCTGATCATAAACAACAGATATTTACTTCATGGATTGCAAACTGGTCTTTGACTTCTTCAACATTATCAGAAATGTCGTCTTGCTCCTGGAAGGTGTCCTCAGCAGAGAGTAACCAGGTCAGCACTTCCTCCAGTGCTATCTGATAGCTGTCCAGATCCACGTCGACCTCGGTGACAGTGCTGGGGGTTTCAGCTCGGGGACTCTCACGCTCCTCCTCCGGCACTGTGCTCTATAAACGCAAAGCCAAGAAAAACCCACAGTCTCTGTGAAGACGAGACAAGTGTTTGACAAAGACACACTGTATGGAGAACCCTAAGCAGACATTATTGTGTCTTAGACATTACTCCAACTTGCAGGAGTCCAGCAGGGGGTGCCACCCAGTGAGTTGTTGTCATTGGGTGCTGTTGGGTCAATTTCAACTCATAACGACTCCATGTGACAGAATAGGACTGTCCCATAGTGTTTTCTAGGCTGTAATCTTTACCAGTGCAGACTGTCAGGTCTTTCTCCCACAGAATCGATGGGTGGGCTTGAACTGCCAACTTTCTGCTTAAGAGCTAAGCGCTTAACTTTTGTGCCACCAGGGCTGTGCTAGGATGGCAAAAGCGAGGGCATTGGTGGTCCAGTGGTAAAATTTTCACCTTTCACGCCAGAGACCCAGGTTCTATCCCCTGCTGATGCACCTTATGCACACCCACCACCTGTCTGTCAGGGGAAGCTTGCACGTTGCTCTGATGCTGAACAGGTTTCAGCAGAGCTTCCAGACTGAGACAGACTAGGGAGAAAAACCTGGCCATCGACTTCTGAAAATCTGCCAGTGAAAACCCTATGGATCAAAACCGTCTGATCTGCGACTGATTATGGAGATGGTGGAGGACTGGGCAGCATTTCATTCCATTCTGCATGGGGTCACCATGTGCTGGGGCCTGACCCCACGGCAGCTAGCAACAACAACAGGATGGCAAAAAGCACAGAAGTGGCATGTACTCAGGAATCCTGTATCGAGGAGATGCTAAGATAGCTGGGGAGAGAAAACAGCCCTCTCGGATCACTTCTGAACAAAAGTAAAACGATTGTTAGCAAAGTAATAAATCCCGTGGTTCCAACAAAAGATGCTATTTGCATTCGCTAAGGGCTAAAACAGGGAGGAAAGTGTCATAGAGGAGCTAGAACACATTGAAGGATGGAGGCAGTTTAAAAAAGCAGAGCTGGAGATTAGAACTCTGCTTTGACCCCTGCTTAAACTGCTTTTATTGGATTGCATTTTAGCATTGCATTTTAGACACTAAAAGACAGCCATACAAACAGGCTGTTGTGCTGATAGTATTTTCTTAAGGTGAGTGCCCTAGAGTTTCACTTCGTGGTCCTTTTTTTTCAGGGCCCATGGAATAAATTTATTTCAAGCTCTTTATACAATTGAAGCATTTTGTTTTGTACTTTGGAATCTTATCACCAAATCAACCATTTCTCCCTTTCAGAGCAAAATTTCTCTAAAATTTGCCTACAGGCTGTCTTGACTTCCTCGTCCCTCTCCAAAAAGTTCAAAAAGGGTATTTCAAGCATACAGAAATGTAGGGTTATTATTTTTAAAATGCTCATGCATTTAACAGCTACAGTGTGTGAACACTTCTCACCCTGAACTAGCAATTGTCCCCACGAATCAACTGAAAAGACTTTTCACCTTTTCTAAGGTCACCAATAAGCTTCCCACTGAGAAATCCATTTTCTAGCCTCACCTTTAAGGTGACTGTATAATTTACTGACAAACTGGAACACTTTTAAGAACTACTATTAATAACTGTGTTAGGACAACAGACATAAACCAGAACTGTCCTGAGCAAACCCAGAGAGTGGTCAGCCTACCTTCCTCACTTAACCTCTCAGCAGCATCCCACATGGCTGGCCACTCCTCCACTTCTAGCAAGTTCCCTGGCTTCATTAACACCACATTCTCCTGGTTTTCCTATTACCTCAATAGCAGCTGCCAACCTGTTAATAATGAATCTCCTCAATGTTAAGTCCTCGGCTCTCTTTACTTCTTTCTGTATACTTTGCCTAAGTGATCACATCTATTCTTGATGGAGTTAACACAGCAGCCATATCCTGCAGACTTTCAACTTTATATTTCTAGTCGTAAACTCTCTTCTGAACTCCAAACTCCTATATCCAACCACCGTAACATCTCCACATCAATGTCTCATAGGTATATCAAAACAAGTCCACATTTGAACTCTTACTTTTCCCCAAACCTGCTCCTCTCCAAGCTTCCCCATCTCAGTAAATGGCACCTCCAGGCACCTAATTACCCCGGCTAAAAACTTGAAGCCAGCCTTGGTTTCTCTCTTCCCTTCACCTCCCACACTTAATGTGTAAGCAAGTCCTACCTTCAAAATTTATCACTAGTCCATCCAGACCTTTCCATCTCCACTAACAGGAATGACTCTCACCTGGACTACTACACTAGCCTGCTAACAGGTGTCTTCACTTCCTCGTTTGCCCAACCACACTCCTAACTCCCCAATCCATTTTTCACACAGTAGCCAGACTCATCCTTTGAAAATGTAATCACATCGTAAGACTTCCCTGCTTAAAGCCTTTCAGTACTTTCCCAACACTCTTTGAGATATAATTTAAAATTCTTCTCATCATTAAGATAACATAACTACCTGTGAAACAGATAAAAAGAAACTGTGTGTGTGTGTGTGTGCGTGTATGTGTGTAGTACTGAATTTTGACAGGTTGATCAGAGAAGACTTCTCTGAAAAAAGTTCCATTTAAAAAGAGGAAGAATGGGAAGTTTGCCATGGGTATCGTGGGTGGAGCAGTTCCGAGAGAGAAGCCCCAGTGGACAAGAACCTTGGAGAAGAAGAAAAAGTCCACTGAAATAAACGTGGGTGGGATCTTGAAAACTACAAGACAGCTGGAACAGAAAGAAAACACACAAAAGACATTCTGAGGGAAGACTCAAACGGACCTGCTAAACTGAAAAAAAGAGTCGGCGAGCAGACATTTGAAACACTGGATAATTAAGAGAACAGATGAGCCAAAGCCAGAGAAAGGAAAAAGAGTTAAGTTCTAGACCTAAAATCCTGACACTCTGGAGCCAAAATAACGCTGGAGATAATTTAGTACCAAACCTCTATATTACAAATGGGGACAGCTGAGGTCTCAAAAGTTAGTGACCAGCCGATGGTGACTCAGTTAGGCACCAGCATCTATGAGGGGAGAGACAAAAGGCGTTATATCTAAATGCAAATATTCTGGAGGTATTAGTCAAAACAGATGAAGAGACTTTCACTAATAGATATTTACAGAGAAATGCAGGAATCATCTGCCGAATACCTAATGCTATACAACATGTTTGCAGAAAGCGGACTGGCTATTAGGGTTCACTGAAGAATAGTAGATGGCAAGCTAGGTCAAAAAATAGATGATTAAAACCTGATCCCATTTTATTTCTTCAATTAATTTAATTCAACCTCTAAGGCACCAATGAAAGCATGCAAATGAAGAGGTTAGTGTAAATACATTTGCTCTTAATCAAACAGCAAACGGTTTCTGTAATTCTTATCCTGCCACCCTTAGCCCTAAACAGGAGGGAAGGGATTGTATTTTTATACATCATGAAAGGCAAATGAAGTCTTCTTCCCTGTTTTGTTTTCTTTTTTGTTTTAAGAGTGAATGGCCTTAACTATAGGAAGATATCCCATCTTTGTGAGACTCTAACAAAAACAAAAACAAATAAAGAAATGATTCTAAAACCAAGAGGTAAACCCCAGAAGGCTATCTGAGCTATCCAAACGGCGTATCATAATACAGGATAATAACTACATTATAGATGTTTCCTTGTAATTTTTCAGGCAATTATAAGAGGCGAGGGCTCAACATCACTTGATTTTCATAATTACTAAAAAGAATCCTGGGTTCACACTCGTGCCCCATCTCTCACTCTATTTCCTTCAGTAGGTTTCTCCTTTTTCTATAAACCATGTTATTTTTGAAATGGAGAAAATAAAAGGATTGGCTCTGGTGGCACAAACAGTTAGGTGCTCAGCTCCTAAACAAAAAGTCAGCAGCTCAAACTGACACGGCAGCTCCAAAACGGAACACCTAGCAACTTTCTTCCATAAAGATTACAGTCAAGAAAACCCTATGAGGCGCTTCTACTCTGTCACTTGGAGTCGCTGTGAGTTGAAATCGACTCGCCAGCCCGTAACAACAACAATCTACTGCATAAAGAAATCTGTGTAATAGGGAGTTCGCCAAACCACAGAGGGAAAAAAAGATGTTATTCCAGGTTAAGACTGTTATCAGTATATGAGAATTAAATAATATTTTTAAAAAGGAATTTGCAGAATGACAATGCCAAAACAAGTTAAGACGAAAAATTATAACAATGACTGCTGCCAAGGAAAATGAACAATATAAAAGACACAAGGAAAACATTAGCCCAAGAAACAAAAAGGGCCACATAAACCAGAGACTTCATCAGCCTGAGACCAGAAGAACTAGAAGGTGCCCAGCTATCACCCATGACTGCCCTGACAGGAAACACAACAGAGAGTCCCTGATAAAAGCAGGAGAAAAGTGGGGTTCAGAACTCAAATTCTAGCAAAAAGACCAGACTTAATGGTCTGACTGAGACTGGAGGAACCCCA